TCATCGAACTTCTGGAATGCAGGAAGTTTTCACCTCAACTTGGAGTAATTCTCTAATAGATTTGGTCGCCTCTGGGATTATACCGTCTTCTTCATCAACCCTGCTGCCTACTCCCTTGAGTAGCAAAGGTACAACACTACATACTGCCTGCTTCGTTCCTTGGTCATGCACTCTTGCATGACCCGAAGTCCTTCACTTTCAGCTATCTTGATGAGAAGCTCGTTGACACCGGTCTTACGAAGTTCCTTGGCCTTTGCCCTTCAGCCTTGTCTCGGTACTTGGAGTTTGCCTCTGCATGCTCCGCCTCTTTGGCCCCTTTCACGACCAAGCGCTCTCCCTCCATGAGAGCAAGGGATTAATGACTTTCGCGGAAGTCCCGCCTCTACGGTACCATGGCGCTGCCATGCCCATGGCTCTACTATCCGTCGCCTCGCATCTGCATCTCTTTTTGTCACAATCAGTAGATATGTCTCTATGGCACTCCACTGAGTCCACCTCCATTCTAACTGATGCTTGATTTTGGGTAGCTAAGTCCCTCTGGATTTGTCGTCGCTTCTTTGCCCCTTTCGACCCTCTGCTTTAACACCTCTGTGTTCTCCAAGCAGATCCCTTTGGTCGATGGAAAGACAGACTGCAACTCCCATGCATGGCCTCTGCCATCACAGTATAGGGTTTGCACCGATTCCGTTCTCCTTAACTTCCTTGATAGCAACGTTCACTTACTCGACCTTGTCCTCTGACTTGTCGGGCTCCCTTAAGCGAATATGGGCTTTGGAGCAGTCCAACTCTCCAGCTGCTTCAATCATACCTCTGCATGATCAAGTCCCTCCCATGGGACTCACTGGTACTTGCATTCGAACTTTTCCCTTGGTGGAACACAGCCCCTATATGCTGATGACCAAGGCTTTTATCCGATGCAAAATTCGATGCATGCATGGAAGACCCACCTCTGCGGTACCATGGCCTTCACTCCTTAAATCCATAGCCCTTCTTACCGTCGTGTTGTTCACCGAAGTGGAGCTTCCAGTAGCTCCCGATCATACCTCTGTATGATCTAGTCCCTCACGGGACTATGTCGTGTGTATCGCATTGCCACGAACTGTTCCACCACGATCCGCTGCACTATGTCGCTTCCTGGTGACATCTCTATTGCATTCTGATCCTTGTGGGATGAACTCGAATTGTGATCCCTCCATGTGTGGCCTTTGCCAATACATCGCAAGGTCTCTTCCACCTTTGATTTTGTTCGCTCCTTTGGCAATCGACCTTCATCCACCCACTCTTGGGTCACACCTAGATGAAGCACCGCTCTAGGACAGTCCGTCGCCTAGTAGCTCTCAAAGTCCCCCGACTTCGCTGCAATTAGTGCACCATTGTCTGGATCCTGGGCCTTTGCCTCTACCAGCACAATCTTCGCTGCGCACCGCTTTCTTTATGGCAACTTGAATGACAACACTGTGGCATATTCTTCAAGAGTACCCGCCTCTGCGTCCTCTTGCCCGTGCTAAGGCCTTCTGAACCCAACTTCGCCTTCGCAAATTGAGTCGCCTTAGTTCCTCCATTAAATGCTTTTCCGAGATAAGGTGCATGTGCCCAGAAGCTCTCTTCGTCTTTAGCACCATGCAAGATGAGTCTGCTCCGTTAGAATGAAGGACCCATGGAACAACATGATCCTGTTCTTGCCTCTGCAAGAGTTCATGTCCTTGACCTCTGCCCAAGGAAAGCACTGTGCCCCCGCTCCATGTTCCATCTTCTATGCTGGCTCCCTTCATGCAGCTTGGGTACTTCGCCAAGTTACACCCAAGTTGTTCCGCTCCTCGTTTTTGCATTGAGTTGATGGTGGCCCTCGTGCCTACCATTCCCCGGGTCAGCCCTCCCTTGAGTCCGATCTCCATATCGACTCCAAGTGTGCCTTCATTTGTGTTCATTTGGGTCGCTCCCTCACTTGATCTCGCAATGCATCCACCAATGCATTCTCTCAAGCGAGATCATGCGATGACTCCTCGCCGCTTGCTCGGTCCATTGAGCTTCGTGGAGTTGTTGTTTGTTGAGGTACTCCTCCTCAACATGTGAGGTCCGTCCCACATGATTCTCCTTCTGGAGAGCCGGGACTTATCCCTCCTGGATAACTATCCCGTTGGAGCAACATCTCTCTTTGTTTCGGAGACCACCATCCCCTTAGACTACTCCGATCTGCTGAAAAAACTGTGCATTGTTCTGCCTCCTGCAAACGCACTTGCTAGATTGCGACTCCACGTCAATATAGCCCCCGCTGCACCACTCAAGGCCTTGCAACATGCTGAACTCGTTGCACACTTCAGCCTTCTACATACGTATCCTTCACATGCCGAAGAGAAAGTTTCAATGCTCCATGGCGTCGAGTTTCGATCGTCTTGGGATGGCCGTGAACATTCCATCGTCCGCATACAAGCCCATGTATGAGTACCGAATTCTTTGAGTTAGCAATTCCCCTCACCTCTGTGAGCTTTGCATAACTCTTTCGGTCGCTGAGCAACTCATTCCACCTTGCATGGTCTCATCCTTTACCAAGCGCCTCGCTTGCCTTGAGCACCATCAAGTATTGTCGTCAACGTTGAGCCGTAGCTCAAACTCAGCCATCCCACCCTTTGTGCGCTCCACATTCTTCCAAGCTTGCCTGTTCTCGTGGTGCCTCTTGCGCGAAGGGTTAGCCATTCCTCTGAATGCCAATCTCAGATGCCCGCTCCTTCGAGTGACTCTTTTCCCTACATCTCCATGCCCGTTTTCCCCCAAACGGTCGCGCGTGTGCTGACTGTCCTCAACACAACCCCGCTAGGTCCCCCACGTTTGCATGCTAAGTGTTTCTATAAGTGCTTGTCCCGCTCTGATACTATCTGTCACGGACTTAGTTGGTTTTGCCTAAGTCGTGCGGCACCCTTACGTGTCCGTCCGCAAAGGTCAGCCTCCCCGAAGCCTCCCACAGTCCCTTAGGACTCACAAAAGAGAGAACGGGTTAGAGAAAACGCCTCATTCGGGATCCACAAGCAAACATTTCCGAAAACACTTCATAGACAATGCAAATTACAAACAGACTTTAAAGCTCTGAACAGTTGCACAACAAAGGGTCAAAATGGTCCATTACAGACCGAAAATCTCTTACAAGTGTCCACATGACACAACATTTATTTACAAGGCTAAAGCGGCCATCAAACCCAACTAAAATGGGACTATTAAGCCTTCGGCTGTCCTTCTACATACTAGGCAAAGAATGAACATATCAAAAGACACGGACATACATAAGCATTACATCAAACATCCTGTTTAGAAGTTTGTCCATGACAAGATGGTACAGTCCCTGTACCAGATGGGCATGCCAGGTTTACCTTGGTTCACGTGCTGATAGGCGATCGGAGCCGTAAACACCGTCCATACCATGCTGTACTCGGCAGTATTGCAAATCTTGTATGCAGGTAACATCCATGTGGGCCCACTGGATATTACATAAATTTTTTGTTGACATTTGGTAATGTGGACTGACAGGGCAACACAAATAGACCAATATGGGTCTCTAACTGGGTGGTATGTGCTCTGTTTAAACCATTCAATGAACAGTGTCTGGAGCCTGGACCATGTTAGTGTTCTATAGGTGCCAGCATATCAATGAAGTATTAATATTACCAGTAAATGCTTGGTTTGCCCTCTGTTTATATAGCATAAGATTAAAAAACCATGGGCTTTTTTTTGTCATGAGCTAATTTCAGTTAGTTGTGTGGCAACAATCGCCAAATGTTCAGTGGAGCAAATTGTATAATTTAAGTGACACTTTTTGAGGAAATCACAGGTAGAAAAATTACATTTTCTTCCCTTTTCAATTAATGTTTGTTTTACCCCCTTGAAATAACAGGTGAGAGGGGAATGATAGATGAGGCCCAGAAAGCTCTAGAAGAGGCAGAGGCTCTGAAAAAGGTTTCTCCACCTTCGTCACTTGAATTATGACCCTTACATGTGTCAACCTGTGATAATCTTGTTTAATTTGTCTACCTGTGAAAACTATGTATTATGTTATGTTAAACTTGCTTCATTACAACTATGAGTACCTTTTTCTTCAGCTGGGTGGACGGCAAGAGCCTGTTATAGAACCTTCAAAGTATAGTGCTGTTGATGTTCGAATAGTGAGTTCAACTGAACTGAGAAAGCTGTTCTATTATCTTCGTTTTGAAACATGAACTGATATTTAATATTTTTAATATATATGTTTTCTGTATTTAGACATGTAGATATATGCCTCAGTGTAGTTATACTTTTTTATGTTGAGCTACAAACAGGCTCTATCATATGATTGTAGGAATTTAAAGACCTTGGTTATAGGTACTTGTTCCTTTTGTGTTTGTCTTCAATAAACTTTATATTCCAATTATCCTGATTGTACCTGGCTTATTGAGATCTCTGCAAACCAAGTATCAGTATTTATATTGTCATCCTGCTCAGCATCTAAGACGAAGAGCTTCGTGGATAGATTAAACAAATTTTTTTTTTCTGATTATTATCAATGTAATGTCAATTATCTTAAGTTGTGCAGCTACAACTTTGCTATGTAGGCTTGGTCTTAGTCAAGCCTTTAGAATTGAGAAGTAAAAAGTTATTATATTTTGAAGTTGGTTTTCAGGATGTCAAAAAGGCAGGCCATGCTTGGGACTTTTTGTAGATGGGATAACAAATGTGCCATTTGTGGTTCCAAAATTTTGAATAAGCAATTAATATCACTTTGATGTTATATGGTATCCTCCAAGGAGAGGAGAAAAGGAGATTTAATATAATGAGAAGCTGTAATACTTTCTGGGGGGAAAAGAAGATTACAATTTGTTTTATTATTCCTGCAGAAAGGTAGAGAAAGATACGAAGAGGAGAGAGGGGGGAGGGAGGGAAGGAGATGCACACCCAAGAGAGGTTGAGGACCTGCTGCCAAGAGAAATCACTGTTTTCTTTCCCAGTTTCAAATCATTCATTCCCTAACAAGAGAGAACAATCAATTTTTTGATGCATTAAAGATGGGTTCTGTGTTCTCATTAATATAGGAAAAAATGATACAAATAATCAATGAAAAGAGTACCAAATCTGGACCTGACTGATATTTCTCCTTCCTAGACTAGAACTTGCCTATGATTCATGGAATCTGAATTGTTATCTTTTTCTTTTCTCAATTAAAATGATGATAATTGCTCCAATAACTAGAAAAATAGATAAAGAGACCTGAATTAGACCCAATAAGTTTAACTTCAAGACAAGTCACATGTAACCAAACCTTGCAATCAATCTAGTTTCCATTAACTACTGATGTAGTCCTTTTTACAAGTATGGTTTCGGTAGAGGGAAATTTCAATATGTATGCATAGATGGAGTTAATGCTCATGTTAATGGATTCATGCATTAAATGAAACAAAAACTCCAGTGGATAATTGTATGGTATAATTTGACAAATAGTCCAAATATCACTGTAAGGAGTACGGTATTGGTATGATTTTGTACTAAGTAATGCAAGAGCATAAGATATTTGGAGCTTGCTTGGTCATGGCCATTAAAGCAATGAGGTAACAGAAGATTGGCTTTGTGAGTCGGTGGGATGAGAGACTGTATTCTATCGGAGCCAGGAAAAGACTGTGAATAAATCATGGGTTTGTTGGTGGTTAATGATGGAAAGTGAGATACTTTTCTACGTCCATACTAGGAAGGGAAAGAAGAGTCAAACTGAATCCTTCCAAATCAGTTATGAACTCAGGTTCGGATTTGATCATATTCTAATTTTAATCTATTTTTTTGTTTTTGGAATAATGTTAGTATGATAAGATGGGTCTTTTGGAGTACTTGGGTTTCTATATGACAACACCCTCGTACAATTTTGTCTTGATTTTCTAAATTGATTAAGAAAGAAGAAAGAGAAAGTAAATGAATAAAACGAGGAAAAGAATTACCTAGCCACAAAAAAAAAAGAAAGGCAAGATTATTTGCCAAGATGAGTCTGGACACTGGTTTCCCAAAGAAAAAAATAATTTAATCTTGATATGATTGTATTTTTTTGTTTTTAGTTTTCTTATCTTCTCGTACTTGGGGCATTTAAAAGGGCCAAAGGGCTTGTAATGTGATCATTTGTTTTTTTAATAAATGACTTATTCCATAAGATGTGTCAATATGTTCTTTCTTCCAACTTGAGTTCAAAGGATTTGGAACGAGTTCAAGATTTTCTCTCTCTCCCTTTCTCCTCTTCCCCACTAGCTTACAATTTAACATCCACCATTGCCAAGTCTTCTGAATCCCAAACTCGTGGATGCATACTGTTTGTGGAACTACCCTGCATTGAAGACACATGGATCAACATAAACTATTCAATTAAGTCATACTAATCAAAAGGGCGGTCCAGTGTTTCTCTCCTTTCCTAAGAACCAGTTTTCTTTGAATCTTCTATATTTTTTTTGTTGTTTAAATTAAAATTTCTGAGAACCAACATGTTATTCATATCCTCTCTTTTTTGGCCTTTCTTTTCCCTTCCTTACCAACTGTCCTCCTCAAACCCTTCAATCTGACCACCCTTTAGGTTGTCCTACATCAGTTAACAATTACAAATTGTTTGGTTTAAACTTTCTATTGCTTCATTTTAAGGGCTTCATTTATTATCTGTGCTCAATATTTAATTGTCAAATGTCAGATGTATTTTAGCTTTGCCATTCTTAGTTGTTGCTTTTATTTCTCTTAGTTAAGAGAGTTGCTTTTCAGCTTCAACACCTCTTCTCTGTTACTATTGTTGGAAAATTTATTTGCATTTAGATGATCATTTAACCTATAATCCTTGTCTTTATCAAATCAAAAATATAAGAATTGTAACACCATGCGAGTTTCTTTTGCAGACCGATCAGAAGTTGCGTGTATGCGATATTTGTGGAGCATTCTTGAGTGTCTATGACAAGTAATCCTCTCACTTGATCATATAAAAGTTGTAATCATGCTCCTAAAAACTTGAAACCCTTGTGGACTTTGAGCTAGATTTTGATGTATTTATGACTAGTGCACTACCTCCTTGTTACATACTGGCTGTCTGCATTGTATTATGCAAAACAAATATTCTTTTGTAGTCAAAAGAATATATGTTTCGTTGGTCCTTGTATATTAGGAACTCAAGAGATATTAATATTTTTGTATATGCTAATGAGTCAGTTGTTATTGTATGCTTAGTGATCGTCGCCTGGCTGATCATTTTGGAGGGAAACTTCATCTGGGATATATGCAAATCCGTGAGAAACTAGCAGAACTCCAGGTAACCTTTGCAAATTATCTCCTTGTGTACAATTTTGTACAATTTTTTATTTACTGGATTTTATTCCTTACTGATTCTTAGAATAACTATTCACCTTCTTTAGGTAGATGTTGCAGATGTACACTAAATCCTGAACATGATGTACAGTTACATTTTTTGCCTTTATTTTCCATGTCGATTCAGTTTGTCTTCTTGCTAAATGTCCATGAAGTTCAAATTCTGAACATGTTGTTCAGGTGCTGGTATAATGTTTCACATTCTGCAATAAAGAGTTACACTTAAATTTGGCATCAGTGAGTTTTCTTACCTCGATTGAAAAATCACCATGTGGTTATGTTGAGTTTCTGTCTTCACTTCTTTTACTTGGCTAGCACACTGTGAACTGGGAGGGATCCTTTGAAGTACCAAAGGTGGCCATATATGGACTCAGAGAATCAGTTCTATTCCTTACCTGGACAACTGCAATAAATGAAAGTCTGTAAGCAGATGAGCTGTATGTGATGCATATTAAAATTGGTAGCAAAATGTTCTGTTTGTTCCACTTTAAAGAAATTGCTTATTTTTTCATGACCCTGGCTTTTATTTTGTGATTTGGGGTCTGATTTGAAAGCAGAAGCTTCTTAACACCTGTTAGGTAACTTATGAGCCATCTTAACTGTCACTGTCTGTCTGGTTTAAGTGTTTCTGAAGCACCTATTTTGATTGGTGGTGAACTTTTAGAATTTACAGTTTTTAATGAGCACCTGTTTTAATTTTGACACTTCCTTCACCTTGTTATGAATAATAAATGATTATGTGATACAAAGAAATGCTTATTCTCAATGTTATGTGTTTGCCCAAATGCTGGCATCTAGATTTTTAAATACATTTCTTAGTAGAAATTTGAAAGTCTCTTTTTGAATGCATTAGTTCAATGACAATTTTGATTTCAAGCAAAATCTGTCATTGGCTTCATTTTTCTGGTTGACAATTGATTTTAAGACTTCTGTAATCTTTATTCACCTTGTGTCTTGCTATGAGGACTTTCTCAAGTAGGCTATTAGTGTGTTCTTAATTGGGTGAATCTTCATTTCTCTGATAAAATTTCAAATGATGTATCACTGGGAACTAGTTAAAATAATCCTTTTACATATATGGTTTTATCGATGCCTAAAGTGATATGCATGTTTTAAACTTTTACAATGTATGTGGAGCAAATTCAAGGGCATTTTTTTGAAGATTATTTATTTTGAATTTCTTTGCTTCTGTTACTTTTGACCATATTGAAACATCATGATTTTGTTGAGATTAATTGGATATGGTCCACTTGTTTTTTCTTAAAACGTCAATGTCTTCACAATTTAGTTTTCCAGGAAGAGAGGGACAAGAAACGAAAGATTGATCGATCTGAAGATGATAGAAGGTATTCTCATTGCTTCTCATGCTTTGAAAAACTAGGTAATGCCATCAATTTACAACTATATTTCTAAATTGATGATTTAGGTCAAAAGAACGGAGTAGGGATGATGACAGGGCAGGAAGCAGAGATCGAGATATAAATAGAGATGTTCGAGGTGATAACCGAGATAGAGGCAGGGAACATGATCGACGAAACAGGGACCATGATCGGCATTATGATAGAGGTCATAGAGACCGAGATAGAGGTTCTGATCGATCTCGCAACTATGATTCGAGAAGTCGGAGGTCACGTTCTCGCTCCAGGGATCGTGCCAAAGATTATGACCGACATAGGTACTGCTATATACTTGTTTTAAAGTTTGTACTGTTCCGTTTGTCTATATTCACTAGCTATCACAATTCAAGAGCTATCATTTAGAATTTGTTGTATGTCATGAGTTGTGTAGCTAAACATAAGATATTGTCGGTGTTGAAGGGCATTGACGTAGAATATGTTTAAAATTATTGTTAATTTAACATGATTTAGTCTAAAAAGTGCATCAAGTGATGTTGACCTTGTTCATATCAATAGTAGTTGAGAGTGTGAATATGGAATTAGATCCTTCCCTTGGTTGTGGTGAGAGATTTGGTATGCTCGGCAGATATTAGTCTTTGGTGGTCATCACCAGGTCTTCAAGAACACATTATGATTTTTTTTCCCTTTTTTCTACAAGGGTAAATATTATGTAAAGGCAGATTCATTTTTCATCCATATTGCATTGCCTGCTATTAGGTAGTAAGTTCTTTTCAATCCTTGTGTTATTAAGGTTCTAGATAGTCAACACTATGGTCCCTGTAATCTTCAGCCTACCACACTTTTCTTGCCCTGTTTGTTAATAATTGGTTTTTCAATATCGTGAATTAATTATGTTCTTCTCTTTGCAATGTTATCACTGGAATTGTAGCTGATTGATGTCTATTGAGTTGAGATCAAACACCAGGTGATTGGCAATATTTAGAGGTTATTTTGTTATGCTAGTGCAACACTAATTTGCAAGTAGAAAACTAAAGAGGAATCCAGATATATTTTCTATATTATATCAAAGGCTTGTTTTTCATAATCAAAGCTGCTTTTGTCCTATGTGAACATTGTCTTGCTCATAATAGATATATTGTTTTCATTTATTTTTTTTAAAAAAGACAGCTATCTCAATTTAACATGTTAAAATATTTGTCTTCTTGCTGCAGGCGTCATGATAGGTACTAAAAGTAATTGCTCCAGGATCGCTCGAGTGTCAGCCATGGACCTAGTAATGTCTGGATTTATCTATCATTCATGTTGTTGCTGTGATATTTTGTCTAGATCTTGCTGACGAATGTCTGTTGATCTTCTCATGTTCATAGCTGATGGTTGCTACAATTGGGAGTGGATGATGCCTGACTTGGGCAAGCAAAACTGACAAAAATATTCTAGCTTTTGTGATGTTGAAAGACCTTATTAGATCTAACACTAAAGGACTGTAAAAATTGGCTCTCGGAGTATATATATCTTCTGCTTTGTTTCCTCTTTGTGCCATTGCTGATTAATTTTCCAGTTTTCCCCTGAAAGGATAGTATTGGAACCAAAGTTGGATGCAACTTTTGTGTACCTGGTATGTCTTCTTCCTTGTTGCCACTATCACCAGCATTGATTTCTTATAGGACATTAATTGCTCGTATGATCATGACTAGGTATTTATTTCCAACACTTTTAGACAGCTGAAATATAAGCCTTTGGATATTAAATAAAACTGCAACAAAATGAGGACCCGTTTTATGTCTTTACTATTTAAAAACTTATTATGATGTTGAAAATATTAGGAATGTTCAAGGGCATTTTATATCTTAGGAATCATGGTTGAATCTGGGCTTTCTGAATGTATATTAATGTCATGGGATAAGGGAGGATCCTAATATTTGGAGGGATTAAGTCATACTAAATTTACAATGGCAAATTATACTTAGTACAAACCTTGCACTATATCTAAAAAGCCTCTCTATATGTTTATCTAACATCACAAATTGCTGTGTGTTTGGTGGTAAGTAATAAAAAGATGATATATAAACATAAGAAATATTTTTTATTAAGTATATTTCACTCCTTAAATAATTAGAATTCTCAAGATTTTAAACTGGCTAATAACTATAAATGCCCATACGCCGTAGCCGTGGCCGTCCCCGCGCGGTAAACAACAGATTTCTGGTTCGGTGGAGACATCAGTCCGCACGGCGTCTTCGCCTCTTCCTCGCAGCCCCTTTTGTCGTTAGGGTTTGAATAAGTAAGTAGTCCTTGGCTTCGTCTTCCTGCTTCCTCCTGATCCTGTCACTTCGATCCTCTCACGGTCGCCGCCGCTGGTTGCTTCAGGCAAGCCTCCCCTTCCCCACCCCATATGTTGTCTCGCGCTTCCTCTCGCTCGTAATTGGAGAGAAATCGGTGAATGTATCTGCATCGTCCCATCCAGAAACGCCGCTTCTTATTTCGCCACCCTTTTCCCTCTAATATTCCTTCTTGATACATGATATGGAAGAATCTTTAGATAGGGATTCATCCCCTCTGTTTTCCGAGGAGGTAAAAGAAGGAAGAAGAACACTGCACAGGAACATGCACATTTCATCATATAGGTGGCAGACAATATAGCTTCCTGCTATCAAACTGTCAGATGTTAGGAAGGGTTGAAGCATTTCTTGCTCCCTGAAATATATATCGTGAAACCATGAACATTTTGATAAAAATGGATTTATTATTTGCCCACTACCAGAGGTAGTAGAGTCCATTCGACAAGAAACCAACTCGATCTGTAACAGGTTGCTAAGGGTTATCAAGAAAGGGAATTGATGATGGCCTTGCAGTTCCAAGGCCACAAGAAGAGCTTGTGAGAAAAAAAAGGGTAGCTATGGATCAATTCGAGATCTAATCATGTTCTATGCGCTCTCAAAGAGTCGCATTGCTTCTGCTACGTTGGGCAACGAGGGGATTGCACCCTTCTTGGTGGTGGTGATCGCCCCGCACGCATTGGCAAACCTCAGCACCTCCCTCAGCTTCTTCTCATCCTGCAGCCCAACACGCATCTCCGTACGGTAAGTATCTGGTGGCGGACAAGTGCTGAAGCAAACTGGTGATGGGATGTCACTCACCTGCAGCGCAGACGGGTCCTCGACGATCCGCCGGAGCAGTGCGCCGACGAACGCGTCTCCGGCCCCCGTCGTGTCCACCTGCTCCACTGTGAAGGACGCGACGGCGCCATGGAAATCCTTGGAGTTGGTCAGAGCAAGAGAGTTCGTTTTTTAGCTTGGCCTGCTCACTGGCGTTTGAGGTAGAGTAGTTCTAAGCAAGTAGAGATGTGTTCTATACCTTGGTGTAGTACTTGCAGCCCTTCTCACCGAGCGTCACCAGGAGGAGCTTCAGGCTTGGGCGCCAGAGCTGCGCGATCACCTCGTCTTCCACCGAGTCATGGCCCGTGAGGAACTCGAGCTCGACGTCGCTGACCTTTATGATGTCTGCCTCGTTCCAGATGCTCAGGATCTGCTTGCGAGCCTCCTCAGGCGATGTCCAAAGCGGCAACCGGAGGTTGGGGTCGTACGACAGCAGCGCCCCGGCTTCCTTGGCCACCTCCATGGCTTTCAGATGAGCCGATCTGCAGGGCTCCGTGATCAAGCTTATCGATCCGTAGTGGAAGATTGCAGCCTGCAGATCCATCCATCCAAATTTATGAGTAATAAAAGGAAAGAGAATTAGACTCTTTTGATTTCTTGGCGGAGACGAATCACATGCTCATCACAAGAATCCATGCACCAAGAAAAGATGAGCAGATCCTATAGAACAAAGACATAAAGGATCGACCTTTCTGATGAGATCAAGGTTGAGCTCGGCTTCCGTGAGCAGCATGTCGGCGCTGGGGTTGCGGTAGAACATGAACTCACGCTCGCCGTCGGCCCGAAGCGTGACGAAGGCGAGGGCGGTGCGGGCCCCGGCGTCAAACGTGACGCCGGTGTCGTCCACGCCGTTCTCCCGCAGGATCGCCGCCAGCATGCGGCCGAACTCGTCGTCGCCCAGCTTGCCGACGAACGCAGCGCGCCCGCCGAGTCGGGCCACGGCGATCGCCACGTTGGCCGGGGCGCCGCCGGGGGCCTTAAGGAACCCCGGGGCCTCCGCCAGCGACACCCCCGACACCGTCGGCACGAAGTCGATGAGCATCTCGCCGAAGCTCACGATGAGGCCTTCGCCGGAGTCGGCCATCTTTTAGGTGTTCGAAAGGGAGGAGAGACGAGAAGAATGAGTTATACGGGACAGAAGAAGAAAAAGAAGAGAAGGGGAGGTGGGTGTAATAAACACGGAGGGGGAGTGGGTGGCATGGAATGGTCAAACTATGTTAGCTTCGGTTGGAAAGTATAATACAATGGGAAGGAGACCTGTGGGAGAGATATATGCTCTAAAATTGATTCACGATACGGTGTGCTTTTGGCCTGGCACATAAGAGTGCCTACAGAGTTCTTAGGAGACCTGATTTGACTTTGCTTCCTCTCCGTTGTCTAATTGTGTCTTTGGAGGGTATGGTAAGCTTGAAGTCAATATAATTTGTTAGGTATAATATAAGAGACTAGACTTTTGTGGTCCAAAATGTCTGCTGGGTATTCCAAGAAGGGTTGAGATCGGATACATGAATCTTGGATTAGGTTCCACCTGTATGCATGCAACTCTTTATATTAATATTTTAAAATATTAATATAAGATTTTAGGGTTTCGGAATCGACAGAAAGGATAAATTGCTTATTGATATTAGATGAAACCATTTCATTGGTTGACCGCTCATAGGTTCACGAGAAATTACTCACGATTTTATCCTTTCGTAAACTTCAAAAAAACATTAGTTAGAGAGATCTGGTGAACTTATAAGCCCTTGGTTCTCATATTTCTTAACCAACGTGGGATTAAATGATATTATCAATTATTTATAAGGATATTTATGTTTTTTGATTTTTCTAGTCAGATCATAATAGAATCGGTTCGTTTAGAACTGAATCAGAATTTCAATATTCATTCAAGAACTGGAATCAAATTGAATCACCTCGGTTTTGGTTTGGTTGGAAACCATCGATCGGTAAACCATGAGGAGCATGGTTCGGTTCCGGTTGCTAAATATAGCCAACGTCAAACCGGGATTTGGTTTTCAAGCAGCAGCACCTTGTAATGACTGAAACATATCCACACGTCACTTTTCCTCT